TGTAACATCAGGTGCTCATACTGGCTCTGATGTGCTGCGAGAACTTGGTAGGTCATTACATTGCTGGTTGGAATTCAGCTTTCTCTCTCTTCAAAGAGGGGATTGGAATGTAAGGTGTCCTTCAGGTGCTAAAATGATGATTCCTTAAGAACGGGGTGGAAGGGATTAATGGAGGAAAAAGGGGGACATCTGTAATACCTTCAACGATAAAGATAAATCGAAAAAGAAAAGAAATTAAAAGTACAGAGCAACATAAAGATGTGGTTGGAGCCCTGGCCGGTTTGGCTCAGCAGTTGGAGTATCGGCCTGTGGACCAGAGAGTCCCAGGTTCGGTTCCCACTAAGGGTACATACCAAAAAAAGAAAAAGAAAAAGATGTGGCTGGAGACAAAAGGACTAGTCTAATGACATCTTTGTCCTTTCTAAGAATGGGTGCTAGGCTCCCACGTACAGCTCTGCTTTCTTCCCATCATCCCCAGGGTTCCCTCCCCTTCCCTTGCTCTTGATACTGCCTCATCTCCCCCAGCAGCAGACCGGACCCAAAGCTGATTTCATCTCTGAGACATGTGACAGTAGCTCTGTTCCTGGTCCTACCTTTGCTCTTCTTCCTTCTAGTTTGGGCTCAAATCCCAGGCTCAGCCCCCCCACCTCTACTGGTTGATTCAGAGTAGGGATTTCTCCTGAACTGAAAAAACCCTCTAGCAGAACTAACTCTTTTAAATGGTGACCTCTGAGTCAAACACAAATTCTGAGTAAAAACCAAACCTAAATAATCAAACCAAAGTTATGTTTTAAATACCTTGTGAAGCAGTTAGAATCTAAACACTCATTATCACACCAGTTCTGTAATGGATGGTCATGATGACCCAAAACTATTAAAGACAGTTAAATGATTTTACCTTTTTTCTTCAGCATTTCTGAAAATTCAAAAATTTCCTTAATAAATATCTTATTTAACCTCCTTGATACTTCAATGTATAGTTCCTAAGAAAAAGGAGTATTCTCTTACATAATAATCACGGTACAGCTGTCAAATACAGATTTAACATTGATACAATACTTTTATCTATAGTCCACATTCGTTTCATTAATTGTCCTACTGGTGACATATTTAAAAGCAGGGGCAGATGCCTTAGTCTCTGAGAAATTCCACTACATATGTATTCTTCTTTGAAGATGTCAGATAAATTATAGGGGTCCACAAGAGGGTCCAGGGGAGCTCCTTTTATCCATCTTCAACTGTAGCTGTGGATAAGCTGAGACGACCAAAGCATGTGTGTTGGGCAAGGTCAGAACTGTAAGATGGGTGCCTTCCAGATGCAATCTGAGCCACTGGCTGTCTCTGAAAATATAAGGGTTGGTGAGGTGAGTCCACCACTTATCTTCTCAGCAGAACCAGCAACTGTCGTCTCTCTTCTTGAGCAACGAATGATCTGCATTTGTATTGGCCTTGGGACCAGAGACTTGTCTTTGAGTCCCAAATTTTGCCACTTAGCAGTTTATGAACTTGGACTGGCAGATACAAAACAGTATCTACCTCACTGTTTTCCTAAGGATTAAATGAGAGCACGTAACACAGCACCCTGCCTGGCGCATGGTAACGGTTCAACAAATATTAGTGATTGTAGTTATTTTACAGAGAAGTAGCTTCAAAGCTCAGAATGAGACCCCTGGGTTCTCCTCTCTGTTCTCTCATCCCTACTTCTTTTGGTAGTTTGCCCCTTCCATTTCTCCAAATTTTATGGGTAAACAAGCTGTACCAGATACATCCATCTCTCCCTACCAGAAGCAACAGATTTTTTCCAGAAGCAGCAGGTAACTTTAACTCTAGCACCACCTCGTGGTTTGCCAGTGTAAACTCACTCTGGCCACTCCTGGAGGACCAAGGTTGATAGTGGTGGAAACATCAGAGAAGCACCTATCTTTTGAGCGCTTGTTTAGTGCCAGGCACTGTACTATGCAGTTCACTTACCTTATTGCATTTAACCCTCACCGTAATCATAATGGAGTAGGCAGTTTCAGGCAGGAAAATTGCTGCTTAGAGACATTAACTAACTTGCCAAACCTCTCTGGCAGAGCCAGATGTCAGGTAGCTTGCTCACTGGTACTATCCTAATCATTTAACGCCTGGAAAGGCTCTTCAGATTCACAACCTTCTTTACAGTAAAAAAACCAGGATAGAAAGGGACTTACCTGAAACCACAAGCCCAGCTAATGGCAGAGCCAGTACCAGAGCTGCTTGTCCAAAGAGCTGACTTGACCCTGGGCTCCTAACTGAGCTTCACTATGAGCCTGCCAAGCAATTTCGGACTATATCCACCACAGAGTTCTCAGACAGTTTGGAGTTCTCAGAGAACCCTGGAGGTAAATTGTTTTCATATGTATTTCTAGTGCCTACTGTTTACCCATGTCTTCAGCAACGTTGGTACTCAGTGCTTCCAGACTCTAGTTTTCCAGTCCCGATGTCCCAGGAGGAACAATCCCATTAGGGTGGGACTTGGCAGGTGGGAGTCCCAACAGGCGCTCACTCAAATTGGCAAGGGAGAAGCTGGCACAGGTTTAAAATGCCACCTTGGTGCTCAGCCCTGAATCCACTGTGCCTGTCTGGGAGCATTATGGCATGAGAACTGGAGCCAGAGAACAAAAGACGGCAAGTGCTGCAGGCCCAGACAGGCGAGCACAACAGCCTACATATCCAGCACCACTGTGCTGCCTTCCAGCTTCTGACTTCAAACAGCACCTGGGATCTACGAGGAAAGGCATGTGCAGGCACATCTGCCCTTCCCAGAGGGTGATTTGGTTTTATCAAAGTTATTGCCTAGATCAGATTAGAAAATAGGCCAAAGTATGCTGAAAAAACAGTGTGACAGAAAAAGTGTCATTATGGGTCAATTTCACTAAAAATACTATTTTCTTAATCTGGAGAAAGCCAAATCATGCACCACCTGGCTCTAGGCTTCCTAAAGTACCACACAGGAGCTCCAGCACCTAACTTGGGGAAAAACAAAGTAAACACACCCTCTCTTGCCGCTGACCCAGGCCAGCCTCCGATTTGCTCTTGGATAAGGTTCCTAACATTGACTTTTCTACCCAGTGCCAGGTATGCAGGATTGAGAGTGGAAGGCTGTTTCTGTTCTTCCATCCGGACCATTCCATTGACTCAAAGAAAATAGATGTAGAAAGAGAATCAATTTTGAAATTAGGCCAGGGAGGAAATGTGGCTTTGCTACTAAAGAGCTACTACTTAACCTCTTTTGGCCTGTTTTATCACCTGTAAAATGGGGTACATCATCTACCTCTGGAATGTGGTTACATGGGACAACGGACAACATAATTGAAATGCCTTTTAAAAAAAGGGGGAGGGCGCATAGATTTTCCTGTGGTGTGCATGTGGAATCAGGGAAGATACACATTAGTTTGGCCCCAGCAACTTGAACCTCCTTCCTCTGGTGTTAGCTTTGAGATTATACCTCAGACATCCTTTGCATACACCCTTCAGTAGGCAAATATAGTGAAGACAATTAAAATCTAGGGCTAAAAATTATCAGCCATAACCAAACTGACACATGCCTTGGAGAGCTCAATCTCCACATTCAGACCTTTCTAGGAACAGTCCTAAAGAATCTCAAGCACACAAAGTATATTCTTAAATATGGTTTAATACTCTTCTCCATTTCTGTACATCACAACACCAAGATTTCGCTGCTTAGGATCTCTCTGTAGAGGCTATAGAGAATGCAAAGGCTACGGTTTTTACCCCCTCGTATTGATGTGTTTGTATGTTAAGTGTAATACATATCAGTATATATTGATACACACATCAATATATAATGCAATATATATCACTGAAGAGAACACATTGATTAAAGAAATACAAAAATTTGGCATCATTTCCAAACTTAAATAGTAAAAATAAAAACTACAAAAGGAGCTGCATACCCTAAATGTATCATGTGAAACAACAAGCATATTCAAAAATTTACATCCAATTTCTCTGGTCTTGTCATATCACATTAGACCCATTTACAATGGCAAAACCCTAAGGTACTGCTGCGAAGAGAGCATGTTTGCTCGCTCTTGGGTGTTCTGCAAACAAATAGCAGAGCCCAAAGCAAAAGCCTGTTCCAGTGAAGCCTCCCACGATGGTGAATACCAAAGAACTGACTCTTCTCATTGGGGGTTGAGACATCAGGTTACACATCAACAGTCATTTGGACCTCAGAGTACAGTGTGAGAACCAGAAACTTTACATTTAAGACATACTCCCTTCATTCAAGTGAAACAGGATTATTGGAACGATAGGCAGGTCTGCAACCTAGGAACAAGGAGCTGGTTCAGACCGATAAAGCTACAAGTGACTGAGTCAAGTCAATGAAGAACAGCAGTCAGGCACTAAAGTGTTGAAAGTACCCAATTTGAAAACCAAATGCACCCCACTACCCTATCAGTGTGGGGGTGATACCAATTGACTTTTAAAACCTTTGGTCCTTCAAAGTCCATTTGGTACACTCTTTTCCATTGCTACCACTGGGCACGTCCTATACACTTTGTTCACTATCACCACCTCGGGCACGCGATGACCTTGCATGTCAGCTGGGGTCAAGTTCAACTCACAGCCCAGCTGTGAAGCATGAGCTTCAGGTTTTCAGGCCCACTTTTGGACCCCACATGGTTAAGTCCTTGGTGCCAGAAGCTGTGTCCCATCCCTTCCCACCCCTGCCCTTCCCACCCCTCCTCTCATATCTTCTCATAGGAGAGGTGCTTGCAAGTCCCATATTCGAAACAGATTCTCCAACCCCACCAGGAGGTCAGGGGTTTATAATTACATGCAGTCATACATGTCTTATCTGTCGTTCCTGTGAAAAACCTTGCAGTTCATTTTTTAAAAAATCAAAATATTCACATAATCTCATGCCATCCAACACAAGGAAAACACGACCACCTCCCCTTTTACCAAGGACAGACCCAAGCAAAATAAAAATATTCTTTAAATTTCTTTGCTTCCACTTAAATTGCATGTTTTATTTCTCCCAATCCCAGCAATAGCACAAAAGCCCCAACATGTCCATCCCAAACTGGTTTCTAGTAGGCTAAGATTATGGGAACCCTTGTCAAAGCAACTGATGCTAAGGGTTCCCCAAACCCCAGCACAAAAGCCCCTGCAAGACAGATGGAAGGAAACAGTGCACTGGCCCAAATGCTTCATGTGTCAGCTTGACTTTACAATGCAATTTGCATCCTTGAAACTGACAGTCGGGAGGGGGGAGGGATAGTGTGAGGGAGTAAAATTGAAATTGCCTATTAAGCTCACCCTTTCAACATTAAACAAGAGACCAAGAGAGAAATGGTTCCAACATTTCACCACATATATTTCTTCTTATGCAGTCTAAGCTGAGAATGCCATGTAAATGGGTCACTGCAAAATGCAGCAATTTAATTTTTCCAATCAAAATAAGAAACAAATCAGTATGATCTCATTTCTATTAACTTTTGAAGGTTTACAGCAGTTAAAGTATTTTTGCTTCTATGTATGAAGGTTAAAAAAATCATTTTTTTTTTCATAAAATACAAGAGCAACCAATTTCACCACCGAGTAAAAGTAAAAACTGGGATTCTTGTTTAAATTAGTCCAAAGTGGCATTTAGGAACTTAGTCGTAGGCTGCTGCGCTGACACCATGACAAACCAAAGTGTAGGGTTGGGTCTGGTTTTGTTTCGGTTTTCTTTTCAATATCCAATGCTCATGGATTAAGTTCTGAAAATGTTCCAATTGTAAGGCAGGGATCTGTTTGGATTCCACCACGGGTATGCTCCTTGGGTTGGATGCTGGAGGGTGAGGCACATTTTGCCGGACCCATGTCGACTACCTAGTAGTCATCAAGGTCAAAAAATTCGTCGTCTCCTCCTTGGTATTCCATTCCCTGGAAATCTACTCGATATCGCAAGATACCTGGGGGACAGAAACCAAAGAGTAAATCACCTGTGTTCAACAGAATGCAGAAGGCCCAATTCTCTTGCAGAATTACAGAAAGCTAAGAGGTAATGATTAAAAAATGCTCCCACTCTGGACGGTTTGCTATGTGGTTAGAGAGCATTGGCCTGTAGACCAAAGGGCCTTGGGTTCAATTCCTGGTCAAGGGCATGTGCCGGGATGCAGGTTCATCCCTGGCCCCAGTTGGGGAGTGCCGGAGGCAACTAATCAATGTGTCTCTCTCACATCAATGTTTCCTTCTCTACCTCCCTTCCACTCTATCTAAGAATTAATGGAAAAATATCCTCGGGAGAGGACTAGCAAGTTCCCCACCAAGGAAATGGCAGCAGCCATATGCTGCCTCTACCTCCTGCTTCAATGAATGATGAGATGAGCACACCTCACCTGAAGTGATGTTATTTTGGGATGTCCAGGAAAGGCCTTGCCCTGAGACCCTGGATTTAAGTTTAGTTTTCTAATTGGCTACTTACCCCCAATTCCACCAAATCCTTTCACAAATTGGGATCCTTCTTGTGACTTATCTGTGACAATTTCCAATGTAGCTCCAAATTTTTTATAGTTGTTAGCAAACCATTCCAGCAGGGGCATGCTCTCAATTAGTTCATGTTCTTGTCCCGTCTTCAGGGGTGACCATGAGATACAGAAACAATGGGATTAGAATATATCAAGACTCAACAACCCCCTTGCTCCCCTGCCCACCATCATTCTCCTTCTCATTATATGTATGTGTATAAAACTCTCTAAGTCAGTGGTTCTCAACCTGTGGGTCGCGACCCCTTTGGGGGTTGAACGACCTTTTCACAGGGGACGCCTAAGACGTAACAGTAGCAAAATTACAGTTATGAAGTAGCAACAAAAATAATTTTATTGCTGGGGGTTACCACAACATGAGGAACTATATTAAAGGGTTGCGGCATTAGGAAGGTTGAGAACCATTGACTTGAACCTGTACTGGGCAGGTGGCACCTTAAGCTCTAGTGATGCATGTACACCAAACCTACAGAAGCCATTTCGGTAGAAGAGCTAATACAGTAAGTGAAAAATGAAGCACAGATTTCATGGTGCAAGAGAGGTACTATTCAATTAAATCTTTCTTGCAGCTATTTCAAGGACGAAAATATTTAACTACTTTAAAATGAAGGAAACACAGCCCTAGCCGGTTTGGCTCAGGATTTAGAGCATTGCTGGCAGACTGACGAGTCGCAGGTTCGATTTCCGGTCGAGGGCATGTACCTTGGTTGCAGGTTAGATCCGCGACCCCAGCAGGGGTTGTGGGGGAGGCAACCAATCAAGGTGTTGCTCTCACATCAATGTTTCTCTCCCTCCCTTTCACTGTATCTAAAAATAAATGAACAAATATCTTGGGTGAGGAATAAAACAAAAAAGGGACCACAGTAACCACGACTTGGCCTTCTTCCTTGGAATCAGACAGGTATGTGGCAGACAGGAGCTGACCATTTCCTGTTTTCCCCAATGTACAAATATGAAGTTTGGTTTCCCAGGTGGATACTTTATTTATTTATTTTTATCCTCACTTGAGGACATTTTTCCATTTTTTGTTCGGACAGAGCGGGAGGGAGAGAGGGGAAGAGAGAGAGACACACACATCAAGGGGCTGCCACCCGCACGACCCGGCCAGGGCCGGGGACAAACTGCTACTGAGGTACATGCCCTTAGCGGGAACCGAACCCAGGCCAGGTGGATACTTTACATTGCCAGTGCTCTACCATACGGATTCATCTTTCCTTCCCTTGCATGCATCACCAAACTAAGAAAACAACCACATACCTCTTTGTCTGTGAAATGAGATTTATCCTTCTCTTGTTCTGGAGTTAGATAGAGAATTTTCTCCTCTGTAGTAGTGGGGGGAAAAATGTGTTAACCTGGTTCTCACATAATAACAAGTCTAAGTCCCATGAGATGAGTTAGGTCAGATGAAAGGGCTCCTGAACTCATTCTATCAACCTTTTTTTCATGATTATTAGTCAGCATGCACTGAGTGTCTACCAGGGGTACACTGCTTCTATCATGAGGAAACACCAAAGACATTCAAGATACAGTCCTGTTTTCAAGAAATTTAATAATCTTTTAAGTAGACATTTATCAATGTAAGCAGAAACTATGCAGGAATAAGCTACAGAATAAAAGACATTTGCCTTCTGACTGCTCCTGCAATTAGCCATCTCTCCTATATTTCCACCCCAGGATTCCTGAATATACAGGTTAGTAACAAATAACAATCTGATTTTCTAATTCTCATACCTTCTGTGCCTTGGCAATGAAGAACATATCTCATTATATCCAGATTTTCATAGACTATTAGAATTTCTACAGCTCCCATTTCTAAAGCCTTTAGTGTATCTTCAACTCCAAAACAGTATTTGCCCGTGTCCTGGCTGATTTCATCAAAGTATCGTCCTGTGAGTAGGGTCAAGTCAATAAGGACATTAACATTAAAGTTTTCTTTGTAGATATAGACCCTCTTACACTCAAAATCAGAGAAAGAGAGAGAGATACCAACTTAAAAATGGGTAAGTGCTCTGCCCTGGCCGGTTTGGCTCAGTGGTTAGAACGTTGGCACACAGTGAAAAAATTACCACTAGTTGACGCTCCAAAAGAGGCAACACATGAGCCCAACAATGACCACACTAATCTTTAATTCAGGCTCTCTATTCATCACTCTATTACAAAGCATAATTAATATGGGAATTAAGACTCAAGTTTGGTTCCTATTGCAAAAGGGTAAAAACAGTGGAAATACAAACACATTTATTAGACTTAATGACTAAAAAAAAATTAAAAATGATTCCAGCCCTGGCTAGTATTTCCCAGTGGTTAGTGTGGGTCCACACATCAAAGGGTCTTGAGTTTGATCCCCAGCTGTGGTTGGGGAGCAGGTGGGGGCAACCAATTGATGTCCCCCCCACTCCAAAAATCAATGGAAAAAATATCCTCAGGTGAGGATTAACAAAAAAGATTTCACTGAGGAACATCTTAATAAAAACACTAACTCTTCCTCTTACCTTTTCATGTTTCATACAATCACGTATAAAAAAACATTTCACAGACTAAGTAAGTTGCATTTCAATCATACCTATTAATTTCTTCTCTTGAATGAATTTCACGTTGGAGAGGACTTCAGTAGATAACTCAATAGCTTGGTTAAATCCATTTTCACCACCATAGGATATATCAACTAATTTTAAAACTTTTGATTGCAACCTCTGATAGAAAAAAAAAAGCATAATTAGTACCTCAAAACACCTTCCTCAAGACCCACTACCTCTTCATGGAATGCAAAACTCAGCAACGTGATCATGGAAGTCTAAAGAGGGAGAATATGGGGCAAGGGCCCAATTTATTCATTAGCAGGTCTCAGTGAGCACCAGGATATACTTCCCCAGCCAATCATATCACACATTCTATTAGACCTATAAGAGACTATTTCATTAAATACAAATAAAGACTAAATTTCTTATGAAGGAAAGAAAAAATTACTAGTTCTTGCTATACAAGGTTGTGGAATACAAGATAATTTCTTTGGCGAGCATCTACCATAATGTTACTCCACTCCCCCACAATGAGAACACCTTGGGAATGTGTTTTATGGCCAAACCCACATCATAAACCAAAAGATCTTTCTGGACTAAATGTTTTAGGCTTAATCAGCTATTTCATATCACTGCTTTACCCACCTCCAAGAATAGATCAGAAAAAAACAAAACAAAAACAACTAACTCCTAGTTTCTCTCTCTCTCAAACTTTATTTTAAAGCAAAGTATGGCAATCCACTCTGGAGCCTCCATAAGGACGAGAAAGATCCTATCTCAAAATGGCTGATTCCAAAAGAGAAAAGGTCCAGAAAAGTACGGGGAAATGTTTCCTAATAAACACCAAAATCTCGCCAACTCAGAGACAGTAAAAATAAAAATGATGTGCATGTGCCAGTGCTCAGAAAATTACATCATGGAGCATTTACTTCTCACTTACCTGATCAAACATATCAGATTGACTTAGTTCAGTTTTAAAGTCAGCAGATCCAGCTAAAACGAGACCAGCCACATTCACTTTGTCCCCAGAAATAAACAGCTGTACAGCAGTCTCAGCTACTTTCCGAACATAATTATGTCGCTTTTCCATTCTTAAACGGGCAAAACGCAAGGCTGACTGACCTCCTCTACCTTTGACACAAAAGTGGCACGAGGAAAAATTCAATTATTAAGAAGTACAAGATGCCTTGCTATTTAAAAACTAACCAAATAATCATGCTATTACCCCCCTAAAAAAGACAATGAGAAAAATTACTATCTCCTTAATAAATGTTTGGCATAAACCTTTACTTGTTTTCAGAGTGTCTACTAATTCTCTTGTCAAAACAAGAGCCATAAGCACCACGGAGTCATTTCATGCTGCTTCTCCCCTCACCTGGATTTACTACTCCATCCCCCTCTATACTGTTTTCTCACTGCCAGACACAAAGCAAATGGGCTCATGTTCTTTTCCTTTATTACCATGTTTCTTTGGGAGATCCACAGTGAATTTGTGCAGGACTTCTCTTGTGTTTCCTTGGAGTGTGCCAAAAAGTGCACCACTACCATCTATTACAATGAAGCCAAATTTGCTATCATCTGAAAGTAGTGCTGTAAGAGCCTGAAAAGCAAACAAAAGTACCATACAATAAATCCCAAAGCTTTGATAAGGTCAAAACAAATTTTGAAAGGACACACAAAAGCCCTTTCACCCTACTCAGAATGGTATGGATACCACAGAAAAATCATTTTATGGAGTTATTTAAAATCTTCACCCAAGGATATTTTTCCATTTACTTTCAGGGAGGATGAGGTGGAAAGAGAGAGAAAGAGAGACAGAGAGACAGACAGACACATCGATATGAGAGATACACATTGATTGGTTGCCTCCTGCACGACTATGACCAGGGCCGGGGACCAAACTGCAACTGAGGTACATGCCCTTGGCCAGAACTGAACCTGAGACTTGTTGGTCCGTGGGTCAATACTCCAACTGCTGAGCCAAACTGGCCAGGGCAGGAGTGATTTAGATCAGCTACAAATACGTAATTCACACAGACAAATTTGAATTCCTGATACAGGAAAAAAACCAAGAACACTGATGTGAAGCCTTTCAATAAAACTGATCTGGGTACATGATTACAAAATCCAGAGTTACAGGGCTCAAATTCTTAATAGTTCTTAATTTCATTTAGACCGATGGTAGTTTATGAACACAATGTTCAAATTAAAAGTCTAACCTCCAAAAGTTGACTTTTAGTTACCATTAATAACCCCAGCATTAATAGGCATTATTCATTATAGCAAATAATATCTTGTAAACGAACTCCAGAGTAGGAGCATGTAAAAAAACTGAGAAACAGTCTATAGAACAATCTAGTTTGAAAATGTATCTTTAACTCCTATGTCTTGAGCATTATTGATACCAAGATATAAAACTCAAAGCTTTATTTTAAAGGTATTATAGCTAATGATTCTGAGTTTTTATGGGGGAAAACCCTCCTGGGTTAGGATTTTATCCCTATATTTCTGCCTCCTGAAAAAGTAAATATTTAAATAGTCCTGGGACTCGCGTGGCCAATGTGGCTTAGTGGATTAAGCATCATTCCATGGACTGAGAGGTCCTGGTTCGATTCCAAGTCAGGGCACGTGCCCAGGTTGTGGGCTCAATCCCCAGTAGGGGGGATGCAGGAGGCAGCCAATCAGCATGTCTCTCTCACATCGATGTTTCTATCTCTCTCTCCCTTCTTCTCTCTCTCTTTAAAATTCTCATCCAAGAACATTTTTGCATTTATCTTCAGATAGAGTGAGAGGGAGAGAGGGAAGAAGAGAGAGAGGGAAACAGCGATGTAAGACACATCGAGTGGCTGTCACCCACACAACCGCAACCAGGGCCGGGGACAAATTGCAACTGAGGTAGGCATGTGCCCTTCACGGGAACCTGGACTCTTTGGTCCGCGGGCCAACATTCTAACTGCTGAGTCAAACCAGCCAGGGCTTCTCTCTCTATAGAATCAGTAATTAAAAAACAACAACAACATATTTAAATAGTCCCGAAACTCAAATAGATATAATTTTCATAATGGAATTCGAATACCATAGGCTTGATAGATGACTTACTAGGTGGCAGTCTCGTTAGAGCTAAGAATTTACCCATTCCATTTTAACTAAGGAAGAAAATAGTTTCTTCAAGAATTGACTAGAAAGCAGACTATTATTATTATTATTTTTATTTTTTATCCTCACCCAAGGATAGTTTTGCATTTATCTTCAGGTAAGAGAGGGAGAGAGGGAGGAAGAGAGAGAGAGAAAAACATCAGCGTGAGAGAGACACATTGAGTGGTTGCCACCCACACAATCCCAACCGTGGCCAGGGACAAACTGCAACTGAGGTACACACCCTTAGCAGGAACCAAACCCCAGTCTCTGGTCCATAGGCCGACGCTCTAACCACTGAGCCAAACCAGCCAGGGCCAGATTATTATTATTATTATTATTATTATTTTTATCCTCACCCGAGGACATTTTTCCATTTTTTGTTCAGGTAGAGTGGGAGGGAGAGAGAGGAACAGAGAGAGAGAGAAACATTGATGTGAAAGGAACACATCGAGTGGCTGCCACCCGCACGACCGACCAGGCCGGGGACAAACTGCAACCGAGGTACGTGCCCTTAGCGTGAACCGAACCCGGGACTCTCTGGACCGCAGGCCGACGCTCTAACCGCTGAGCCAAACCGGCCAGGGCCAGGGCCAGATTATTAAGAATCAATATTTAACAAAACTATGCTCGATAATTAGCATTAAAACATAAATATTGCATAAGTTAAACTTTTTGCTTTGCCAAAATGATCTGTTAGGTGGCTTGATTAATGCAGGTTTTCAACAAGTTTGTTCATCAGGGAATAGACTTATCTCTCATAAAAGGAAATACTGCCCTGGCTGGTTTGGCTCAGCGGTTAGAGCATTGGCCCACAGACCAGAGACCAGGTATGGTTCCCGTGAAGGGCATGTACCTTGGTTGCAGTTTGTCTCCGGCCCCGGTTGGTGTTGTGTGGGTGGCAACCACTCAATTTGTCTCTCTCACATCAATGTTTCTCTCTCTCTCTTCTTCCCTCTCTCCCTCCCACTCTATCTGAAGATCAATGCAAAACTGTCCTCGGGTGAGGATTAAAAAATAATAATAAAAAAGGGTATACTTATCCTGATTAAACAGGACATAAGTTGTGTTGTATAGTATGCTTCATTCATATCTAGTTATTGACATGTCAACTAAAGAAAAAATAAAGCCAGCAAGAATAGTACCTTGGAAGATGAAGCTAACTTAGCAAGTAAGCTAAAGTTAGATAACATAAGTACCAGGTACTATTTAAATCAGTAAGATTCAAAATTTGCTTTAATCAAATCAGATATAGCTAAGTGGGAATAGGGTAGCTAATAGCCTACCAATGAAGGCTTTGTCAGGGGACTGTGATACCCAAGAGAAGAACAGTCTCAACCATCTATGCACCAACCAAGACCCAACTGGAAAAGGACTTTCTGTCAAGTTAGCGAAAAATCATCCACTGTAAACTGAATCGACAGATGTCAGTTCTAATTCCACTGTAGAGATTTTCCCCTAGGTCGATGAAAGGCAAGAGAATGAACTAAAAGCTAGCTGTGAATTTTTGATTGTCCTGTTGTTGATGATTTAGGTCACTCTAATGAGGTTTTCTTTCCACCCTTAAAGTTCCTCTTATAGCAGCTCTGTTATTTAAAAGTTTCATGGAGGAGCCCGGCTGGTGTGGCTCAGTGGTTGAGCATCGACCCATGTACCAAGAGGCCGCCTGTTCGATTCCTGGTCAAGGCACATGCTCAGGTTGTGGGCCCAATTCCCAGTGGGGGGCATGCAGTAGACGGCCAATCGACATTCTCTCTCATCCATGTTTCTATCTCTCTCTCCCTCTCCCTTCCTTTCTCTCTAAAATCAACAATAAAAGTTTCATGAAGGGAAAAAAATGAAAAGAAAATAAAAAGCTCTTACAAGGCTTATTAATGATCTTGTCATTTGTGAGCATGAAAATAAAGGGTTCAAGGAATAAAGGCAAGCCTCACAGGTACATAGGGAGAAATGAAGATAAGGCAGCCAATTATTTCTTCACCTGTAATTAGCTCTCCAAATCCAAGTTAGCACCTTCCTCAAACATGCTGAATGATTATGTCTTTCAGTGTGTCATAATAAATGTAAACTCTTCTATTTTTTTTAAACAGCCACCCTTATAAAACGGTACACAATGATTTAAAATACAGTCTGGCAATTCCTCAAAAAGTTAAACATAGTTACCATAGGATCCAGAAATTCCAGTCTTGGGTATATACTACCCCCAATGAAAACATGGTCACACAAAAACTTGTACATGGTATGTTCAAAGTAGCATTATTCATAATAGCCAAATAGTAGAAACACAAATGTCCATCAACTGATCAATAAATAAAATGTGGCAGATATCTGGTAATAAAAAGGATAAAAAGTACAGATACAATGCCACAACATAGACGGACCTTTTAAACATTTTGCCAAATGAAAGAAGCCCTTCACAAAAGGCCACTAATTGTATGATTTCATTTATAGGAAATGACGGCATAAACAAATTTACAGAGACAGAAATAGGTTAGTGGTAGCATAAAGAGAAGGGATCTTGATGTGGAAGGGAATCGAGAATGGGAGTGATTGCTGATGGGTATGAGGTTTCTTTCTGAGGTGATAAAAATATTCTGTGCTTGAACTTCTTACCTCTGTATGAAATTTGTTGTCACACAAATACAATGATGTATTAATTGGTTTGAAAGGTTCAAAGTCAATGTTAACTTTCTTTTCCTTTCCTTCTTCTGTTACAATTGTACCACAGTAAACAACCAGGCCATTTGGAGGTACTGCAAAAAACACAAACAATTTCTCTACTTAAACCCCACATTAATAGAAAATGTTTCCACAGCCTACAGTCCCTGCTCTTTAAATGGTAATTTAAATAAAACAGAAATACCCATAAATAGGCAGAATTCTATCCTGGATTTTGAAACTTACTTTTGAGATGTTTGAATACTAGTACTATTTGCCCAGCCTGTGTGGCTCAGCGGACTGAACATTGTCCCATGGACAGAGAGGTCCCACTTCAATTCTTGGTCAGGGCACACGGGCTCAATCTCCAGCAGGGGGTGTGAGGGAGGCAGCTGATCGATGTTTCTCTCTCTCTCTCAAAAAAAAAAAAAAGCTCTGGTCGGGTTGGCTCATGGTTAGAGCCTCAGCCGCAGTTCAGAGAGATCGGGGTTCGGTTCCCACTAAGGGCACGTACCTTGGTTGCAGTTTATGCCCGGCCCTGGTTGGGGTCGTGCGGGAGGCAGCCACTCGATGTGTCCCTTTCATGTTGATGTCTCTCTCTCTCTCTCTCTCCCCCCCCCCCTCCCACTCTATCTGAACAAAAATGAAAAAATGTCCTCGGGTGAGGATAAAAAAATAAAAATAAAAAATATATTAAAAAAATACTAACACTACTTAGCTTTCAAAAAAATAACTAAAAATAGGGGTTAAATTCCAAGGTCAAAGGGACACTTCTGAAACCTGGCTAAAGGAAACATTAGTGACTAAAAACATCATGGCAGGATCCAAGTGGAAAATACAACCAAGACAACCAAAGCAGAGGAGCAAAACGATCAAGCTCCAGATTACCTTTGTTATAAAGTTTGAGTCTTTGTTGTACAGATGTAATGGCTCCCAGGACTGAAAGGCGGTTTACTCGTGACTTAATGTTAGACGCAGTCCCAAACTCATCTGCTAACATTTTTGCCACTCGTGAAATCTGGTCTTTGGGAGGAATGATCAATGATATCATGCTTGTGCCATTGCTGTGGAAGAAAGAATAACACCAGAGGTTCAAGTACCACATAAGTACAAAGTTTAAATTCATGTGCATCATTAGTAAAGGGAGCCAGAATTTTCCCTAAAATAGTAGGAGTAGATCTCTCTCAAAGTGACCAAGAAGGTAGGGACTATACCAGTGTAATCAAAGGAATACCCAAGAGTTAAAACACACAGTTCCCTTAAAATAGCAGCTCTTAACCTTGGCTGTACATTAAATCACCCGGGGAGTTCACTCTAGGCAGGTTCTTTTCAAGAAAGGCTCCCGAAAGTTCCATTCCTTAAGGTGCTTTTCTCATCTCTGACTCTCTTCTTAGTTTAGAAAATGCAAATGTAATGAGCTCTTATTAATATCCAAACACCATGGACAATTACTATTTACAAGATTATTTAGATCAAGTGGACTTCATAAAAATGAAAAGTAGGCACAGGACATGAATGTCCAGAACAGGCAACCTAGGCACAGAGAAAGGAGTGATTGCCAAGGTGAAGTAGGGAACGACTGGTAACGGGTATGGAGGGTTTCCTTTTTTGGCTGATGGAAATTACACAGCGGTGATTGTTGCAAAACTCTGAAAAAAACAACCCAGTGAATTGTACACATTACAAAGGGGGGTAGCTCAGGGGACACCCAAGAAACAACCAATGAATACTTAAATAAGTGAAACAACAAATCAATGTCTAAAATAAAAAAATAAATAAGACCTGGCCAGTTTGGGTCAGCAGTTAGAGTGTTGGCCTGTGGACAGAAGAGTCGCTGGTTCCGTCCCTGATCTTGATCGAGGTTGTGCGGGAGGTGCGGGAGACAGCCAACAGATGTGTCTCTCTTGCATCGATGTTTCTCTCTCTCCCTCCCTCTCTTTCCCCCTCCCACTCTATCTGAAGATAAATGGAAAAGTGTTCTTGGGTGAGAATAAAATAAATAAATAAAAAGGGAGTAAATTTTACATTATGTAAATTATATCTCAATAAACCTGTCATTTTAAAAAATCTATGCGAGCCCTGGTCAGTTTGGCTCAGCAGTTAGAGCATCGGCCCGTGGTTGGGGTCATGAGGTTGGCAACCACTCAATGTGTCTCTCTCATGTTGATGTTCCTCTCTCTCTTCCTCCCTCACTATCTGAAGATAAATGCAAAAAATATCCTCAGGCCCTGGCCGGTTTGGCTCAGCGGTTAGAGCGTCGGCCTGCGGTCCAGAGAGACCCAGGTTCAGTTCCCGCTAAGGGCATGCACCTCGGTTGCAGTCTGTCCCCGGCCCTGGTTGGTCGTGCGGGTGGCAGCCACTCGACGTGTCCCTTTCACGTCGATGTTTCTCTCTCCCCGCCCCCCCACTCTATCTGAGCAAAAAATGGAAAAATGTCCTCGGGTGAGGATTAAAAAAAAAAAAAAATCTATGGAAAAGATAGTACATAATAGGACCCTTCCTTTTAAGGTCTCTTAACCTGACAGCTTACCAGAAAAGCTGAAGAATAGTTTTTCCTCGAGAAATGTTAATTTGTGTTTAAAAAACTAGATGATCACCCTGGCTAGTTTTGCTCGGTGGTTAGAGTGTGGGCCTGCAGATCAAAGAGTCCCAGGTTGGATCCCGGCCAACGGCACATATCTTGGTTGCTATTGTCCCCGGACCCGACCCCGGTTGGGGATATGTAGGAGACAAGCAATTGATGTTTCTCCCCCGACAACCAAAAGAATCAATAAAAAACATATTTTAATAAAATTTAAAAACTAGATGATCGCCCAACCAGTGTGGCTCAGTGACTGAACATCAACCCATGCACCAAGAGGTCGCTGATTCGATTCCCGGTCAGCATAGGCCCAGGCTGTAAGCCAGGTCCCTGGTGGGGGCATGCAGGAGGCGGCCAATCGATGTTCTCTTATCGATGTATCTAGCTCTCTCTCCCTTTCCCTTCCTCTCTCTCTAAAATCGATAAAGAAATAATTAAAGCCGCCCTGGCCGGTTTGGCTCAGCAGTTAGAGCGTCCGCCTGCGGTCTGGAGAGACCCGGGTTCAGTTCCCGCTAAGGGCATGTACCTTGGTTGCAGTTTGTCCCCGGCCCTGGTTGGTCGTGCGGGTGGCAGCCACTCGATGTGTCCCTTTTACATCGATGTTTCCCTCTCTCTCTCTTCCTCTCTCTCCCTCCCACTCTGTCTGTACAAAAAATGGAAAAATGTCTTTGGATGAGGATTTAAAAAAAAAAAAGAAATAATTAAAGCCCTGGCCGGTTTGGAGCATCAGTTGGCGGACCAGAGAGTCCTGGGTTTGGTTCCGGCTAGGGGAATATACTAAAAAAAACAAAACAAAACAACAACAAAAAAACAAAAAATACACCCCCCCCTGCTTTATAATAAAACCTTTGTTTAAAAAAGAAATAATTAAAAGTAAAAACAAAAAACTAGATGATCAATTTTATAAGAATGAGTGGCAATATGAAACAAATCAAATCTATACCACACATATTATACACAGGAACTTAAAAGCCCTAAATCTGGCTTCTTTACAGTATCTATAGTAAAAATTGAGCCAATTTGTATTTTGAAGGCAAAAATTTATCTGATATACCCTGGCCAGTTTTGCTCCATGGTTAGAGCGGCAGCCCAGGGACTAAAGGGTCGTGGGTTCAATTCCAGTCAAGGGCACATACCTGGGTTGCAGGTTCCATCCCATTCCTGGTGGGGGTTGTGTGGGAGGCAACCAATTGATGTGTCTCTTTCACATTGATTTTTTCTCTCTCTCTCCCCCTCCCTTCCACTCTCTCTAAAAATCAGTGGAAAAACATATCCTCAGGTGAGGATTCAAAGATCTGATATGAGCCAAAGCATGTTAAGAAATATGATATTATCATTTTACAAAATGTTTCTACTTGTTACTTTCTGAGATTCTTATAGATCATACCCTTAAAGGTTAAAACAAGTTTAATCATTGTATTAGTATCACAGGGAAAGAGGTGAGGCTTTCTTTCTTTCTTATTTTTAATTAAAAAAATAGGACAATGCTCTCACCAACTGAGCTACCCATAGGCAAGGGCTTTCTTAGGTCAACTGGGAAGACTGTCAAAAATGCCTAAGACACCCTGGCCAGTGTGGCTCAGTGGATTCGTGTTGGCCCAAGCACCGAGGGTCACGGGTCCATTCCTGGTAAAGAAAACGTAACTGGATTGCAGGTTTGATCCCCAGTCCTGGTTGGGGTTGTGCTGGAGGCAACCAATTGATGTTTCTCTCTCTCTCTCTCTCTCTCTCCCTCTCCCCCTCTCCCCTCCCCACTTTCACTATAGAAATCAATGAAAAAAATATCCTTGGGTGAGGATTAACAACAACAAAAAAGCCTAAGGGTCCTGGCTGGTGTGGCTCAACTCAGTTGAGTATTATCCCATGAACCACGCACGAAGAGGTTGCTGATTCGATTCTCTGTTGGGGCACATGCCCAGGTTGCTAGATCCCCAGTGGGGGTCCTGTTGGAGGCAGCCCATCAATGTTTCTCTAAGGTCAATAAAAACATATTTAAAAACAAACAAACAAACAAACAAACAAAAATGCCTAAGGCCAAGCTTAAGTGATTCAGTTGGTAGAGTGTAATCCTGCGCACCAAAAGGCTGCCAGATTGATCCCGGGTATGGAAGACAACCAACAGATCGATGTTTCTTTCACATAGATGTTTCTCTCTCTCCCTCTTCCTCTCTCTAAGCATGTCCTTGGGTGAGGATTAAAACAAACAAACAAACAAACAAACAAACAAATAAAGTCTCAGCTTAAAAAAACAAAACACAAATGGCTAAGCTTTCAGCACTAATTACTGAGCTTACACAACTTCACAGTAGTCCAACACGCCAATTTTTTTTTTTTTTTTTATCCTCACCCAAGGATATTTTTCCATTTTTTGTACAGATAGAGTGGGAGGGAGAGAGAGGAAGGGAGAGAGAGTGAGAAACATCGACGTGAAGGGACACATCGAGTGGCTGCCACCCACATGACCAACCAGGGCCGGGAACAAACTGCAACCGAAGTACGTGCCCTTAGCGGGAACCGAACCCAGGTCTCTCCGGACCGCAGGCCGACGCTCTAACCGATGAGCCAAACCGGCCAGGGCAACAACACGCCAATTTTAATAGAATTTCATGTATCCAGTGTTCAGTGGAAGTTGCCAAGAAAAAGAAATTAGAAAGATGGGTACAATGTCAAGTTAAAATGGGCCTATGTACCAAGTGACTAATAAGAAAGAAGTGAAGTAGAATAGTCGGGGGAACAATAACAAAAATTAGAAGAAATCTCTATGTTAGCTTTGTCACAGGAGCTCATTTAATCAAGACCCTGCCTTCTGAACGTTTTCTCCTAGTGGTAAATTCCACACGGGTCCTCTAGTCAGATAAGTTGGCTATCTAGCCCCTCCATCATCAAAACAGTTACTCCCAGATTGTCAGCTCATTTTACAGCTCCAAAACCAGCATGGTTTCTGTTGGGGTTTCTACTCAAAACCTAGAGGGCTGGTTCATAACTTTGTGATACTTTTCCCAAGGTGATTAATGCCAGTACCAGGTAAAGTACGGTGTATACTCTGCTGCCTCCCCTTAGATAGGGGAGCAAATATTCTAGCCAAACCAGAGAACCAAGCAAATGTATGATACACAGCCAACTGTCATCATACACCTCATATAAGATAAATCTCCAAAACCTGACCCATAGTTATTTCTTCATCTACATAAATGTTATTTCCAATATTCAAATCAAACTAAATTTTCAATGTAGTACAGACACACCAGAGTGGATCAAGAATAATTCCTTGCTTGTGTATGCATTGCTCTTTAAACTACTTTTCATTTTATCTTCATAGCACAACTACATAAAAGGAACTTGAAAAAACCAGGACAAAGTGCCTAAAAATCAAAAGATCAGATACAAATAAAATCCTATCTGTGGCCTTGTTCCAGTTTCTGAACTAGATAGAAAAAGAATTCCCAAATGAAACAAACTGTTATCTTTTTATGGGGGGTTGGG